ACTTCCTCCAGTTATTTAACAGTCAACAATGGTGTACCACAAGGCTCAGTCTTAGGACCCAACCTCTTTACAATCTACATAGACAATGTAGGTCAGAGCATCCTTGATGCATCCTTACATTTCTATGCTGATGACACAGTTGTGTATTTTCGAGCTAAACCAGTTGCTAAGGCTTTCCAGCTTTTGTAATCCGCATTTGACATCAACCAGTCAGATATGGTCCACCTCAAACTTGTCTTAAATGCCAAAAAAATCAAAAGGATGCCTTTATCAAACAGGAAGTCGATCCCAGCAGTTCTTCTTCCGATTTTATCCTCAAAAATGTCCCTATAGAGTTTGTTGATTCCTATAAATATTTGAGTATCTTGGTCGACTCGCATCTCTCTTTTAAGCTCCACGTGGAAAACCTAGAAAAGAAACTGAAAGTTAAACTGGGTTTCTTTTTCAGAAACAGATCCTATCAAACTCTGAATGCTAGGAAACATCTTGTAAATGTGACTTTCCTCCCCTCCATTGACTACAGTGACATTATTTACATGAATGCTCCTACAAGCACCCTACAGATGTTGGATGCTGTCTATCATGGTGCACTAAGATTCATAACTGGCTGTGATTAACATACCCACCACTGTACCCTGTATTCAATGGTTAACTGGACATCATTAACTTCACGCAGACTCTCTCACAGGTAGATTTTCATCTTTAAATCACTTCTTGGTCTGCTGCCTTCATACAGCTCCTCCTACATGTCCCTGCGTGAGTGCAGCTACAGCGTGCACTCTCAGGACATTATTACCTGCAGTGTTTCCTCAGTGTGGACTGAGCTTGGCAGAAGGGCCTTCTCCTACTCCACTCCTGTTTCCTGAAAACACTATCAATCTTGACCTCTCTAAGTGGCTTCAAGAATCTGTTGGACTCCTGGCAAGGACCAATGCAGACGTTCCTGTTTTTAGTTTTCTACATTTGCCTTATAATCTAGCTGTTTTTGTTAGGTTTTTTTGCCATCTCATTTTAATTTGTTTAAAAAAAAAATCTATATGCCATTTTATAATTGTCTATTGTTGTTGCATTTGTCCACTGCTTTTATCATTCTTTGTTGAAATCAGGTCTCTCTTGTAAATGAGTCCTCGAAACTCAATGGGATTACCCTGTCTAAATAAAGGTTGAATGAATACATCCAACAATTTTCAGTCAGGCCATCTGGACAGTTTCTCTTTTTGCTGAAACGTTTCACCTTCCATCAGGAAGGCTTCATCAGTCAAGGAAACACAATACAAAACTGATTCTCCCCCCAACAACTTCCTCCAAAGTGGAACAAACCAGTTGCATCGGTGCTAAGATGGTGTTTTGGGCACGCCCCTTCCTTTGGAGCCATCCCTCTTCCTCATCAAAAGACATGTCAAACTGGTTTAAAACCAAAAGAAACTGTCCAGATGACCAACATAAATGGTTTGTTCCACTTTAGAGTAAGCCGTTTGGGGGAAGAATCAGTTTTGTGTTGTGTGTTTCCTTGACTGATGAAGCCTTCCGGATAGAAGGTGAAACCATCCATCCATTTTCTTCCGCTTATCTGGGGTTGGGTCGCGGGGGTAGCAGCCTAATTAGGGAGGCCCAGACTTCCCTCTCCCCAGCCACTTGGGCCAGCTCTTCCGGGGGAATCACAAGGCGTTCCCAGGCCAGCCGAGAAACATAGTCCCTCCAAAGTGTACTGGGTCTTCCCCTGGGTCTCCTACCGGTGGGAAGTGCCTGGAACACCTCACCAGGGAGGCGTCCAGGAGGTATTCTAAGTAGATGCCCGAGCCACCTCAACTGGCTCCTCTCGATGTAGAGAAGCAGCGGCTCTACTCTGAGTCCCTCCCGGATGATCGAGCTTCTAATCCTATCTCTAAGGGAAAGCCCAGACACCATGGGGAAAAAACTCATTTCGGCCGCTTGTATCCGAGCTCTTGTTCTCTTGGTCACATCCCAAAGCTCATTACCATAGATGAGGGTAGGAACTGGACTATTGCAATGGTTTATTATCTGGATGTCCAAATACTTCTTTAAAACATCTTCAGTTGATCCGAAATGCTGCTGCTAGAGTCTTACCCGGAGTTAGTAGGCAAGATCATATTTCTCCAGTTTTAGTTTCTCTCCATTGGCTCCCTGTCAAATCCAGAATAGATTTCAAAATCTTACTTGTAACCTACAAAGCTCTCAACAACCTGGCTCCATCTTATATTACAGATCTTATTGTTCCATATTTTCCTAACAGAGCACTTCGCTCTCAGGCTGCAGGTTTACTTGTGGTTCCTAGAATTTACAAAAACAGATTGGGAGGAAGATCTTTCAGTTATCAGGCTCCTCTCTGGTGGAACCAACTTCCAATCTCTGTCCATGAGGCTGACACATTATCCAGTTTTAAAAATAGGCTTAAGACTTTCCTTTTTGATAAATCCTATAGTCCTGGTTGTTACTCCTGCTTCGGTCTCGTGGCACCGTTTGAAGCACCTGAAGGCTTCAATTCTCAGTTGTCGGACAAGCAATAAATCAATCCATCCATCCATGCATCCATGCATCCATCCATCCATCCATCCATCCATCATCCATCCATCCATCATCCATCATCCATGCATCCATCCATCCATCATCCATCCACCCATCCATCCATCCATCATCCATCCATCCATCCATCCATCAATTTTTTATTAAAGTACTTTGTAAATTGGACAGTCTTTTTGACATTTTGATCGTTGTTGTTATTTTGACAAATTAGCATTGTTGTTTTGAAACATGACATATAATGTGATAACACATCAAGCATTTCTATCTTTGTATTTTTAATAATTTTTTTACAGTTAAGCTTTTTTATTATCTCTGAAAGGTAGCAGGAGTTCAGACACCTGCTGATGTTGTGCGCGTGCTAGCACTGTCTGGAGACACTGTGCATAACGTGCACTGTCCACAGGGCATTTATTTATTCTGTTGAATAAATGATTGTTTCTATTTCGGGGGTCTGAGAGGAGGAGAGGGGGGGTGTTTTTCAGTGTGCAGCCACTGAGTAGGGGCAATATTTGAAGAGGAGGAGGAGAGAAGGATTCTGCACAGAACCTCTGTGCATAAATGTGACCATCTGGAGCTTGTGAGAGCTGGTCCGCAGCTCGTGCTGTGGCTGGAACATCCACTCCACAGACTGGGTCTGCCAGGCTAAGGGCAACGTCTACTCTCATTGTATTTGTAATAAATAATCAAAATAAAATGTGCGATGGCTTTGGACGTTTAGGGGCAGAGCTGCCGGATCCGATCAAAGAGTTGCCGGAACAGAACGGATCTTGTTCCGGCAGGATCCGGCTCAAATTAACCACTGTATTTTTTTAAAATAATACTTAGTATTTCTTCTGTATCAGTGTCACCGAGATGTGTCTTTAGCTTTGGCTTTGTGTTTACCACGCCCTCCATAATGTTTAGACTGGTGAAGAACCTGAAGCAACAGGTGTTGTATGCAGAGTCTCTCCCATTTCACCTGCTGAACTCCTGTACCTCATTCAGAGTGGTGTAAGGTGTCTTCGAAGTCTCGCCCACTATGCTCCTTTTTCACAGTCACTCAGTTTCTGAGGACAACCTGTTTGGTAGATTTACACATTAAATATTCCTTCCAGTTTTTGATGATGGGTTTAACAGAATTCCTGGGCATATTTAGGACTTTTAGGACTTTAGAATTTTCTCTGAGATTAATTAAGGCAGTCACTTTCAAGGGGTTGGTTTTAATGATTGGCATCAGCAGGATTTGTAATGTGAGGGGACACATTGGTGGTGTGTGTGCATGTGTGTGTGTGTGTATGTATTTGTGTGCGCGTGGGTTTCAAAACAACTGCGCTAATTTGTCAAAATAATAGCGATCAAAAAGTCAAAAAGACAGTCCCATTTACTTTCATTGAATAAATGGATCGATGGATTGTCCTTAGCTGGACAACCGAGAAGGCAGTTGTAATTGAGATTGGAGCAGCAGGAGCAACAACGTGCAGGAATGAAATCATTGGAGAAGAGTTTGGCTCAGAAACATGAAGTGTGTGTGAGGGGGTAGGACGCTTGTCAGAATCAGAGCTGCTCTATTCACACACAACCTGTTGTTGCTCTCTTAAATAATAATTTACTCAAGTGTTTACAAATGTTGGTAAACGTAGATGTTTAACAACCTGTTAAAATAGGCTTCACCAAAATGCAGGAAATAACATCTACTTTATTCAAAAAAATTAAGGTGGGGGGGGGGACCTTCATGCTCTCTCCACTTTACCCACTCCCCCTCTCCTTCCCGTGTACTCCTACCCCACCCCCTGACTGCCCACTATTTGTGTTCCGGTATCAATAATTTTACAAATTAAGCCCTGGGTTCAACATCCATGGGGGTAAACACTTTCATAAGCACTATAGGCACCAGCTTCCTGTGACCTTATGCAGGAGGGTATAGAAAATGCATGAATGGATATTCATGTTAACTCTCAGACTAATGTCAAAGGAGTTACAGAAAAATCTGCATTTCAGATGACACTGTTGCATAGTGATATGATTGTTAGGGCATTTGTGTGTGTGTGTGTTGTGTGTGGAAAATATAGTTTTTGGGGTCTAGGGTTGAGGAGGTAATTATATGCAGTATCTTGCAGTCACTGATGTCTGGCAGCTTTGTGATGTCACACAAAATTGCCAGAGAGTTTTAACAGTTTTCTCCTCAGTGATGGATGTTCACCCACAACCAACATCAGTGTTTACACCTTGGCATGAATCTGATTTTTTTTTTTTTATCAGACATTTAAAATATTGTTTGCACGTTGTGGTGAGCACTGCTTTATGAATTTGAGTAAAAGCCAAAAAAGCAGCGCAGACAACACAGCACAAGGACAACATGCAAATCGTCTGTACACATTTAAGATTGCTTATACAAAAGATGACAATGTAGATGTGTTTTATCTCCTTTACAATCTTTTACCAGCACAGAATGAATTTATTTTCCTGAGGAGAATTACCAGGCTGAACAGGTACTCCGCAGCTTAACGTGTAGTTCTCAGGGTCTGTAAGAAACAAAGACACATGTTAAACTCTGATAACGGAATAATATTCAGAAATCATTCTGATAGTTTAAAGACAGGGTGAGCTTACAGAGTGTTTCAAAGTGTTAAAGAAAACACATTTTTGAGGGTTGGAAAATGTTTAATGGTCTTTTTATCCTGCTGTTTTCAAAAACATTGAGAAAGCCCAAAGGCAGATTTGCTTCCATGTGACTTTAACCCTGATCATTAAATTAAAGCCCAAATAAAAGATCCATTAACACTGTCATTCTCCCCTGGTACCCATGCCTTCACAAAGATGCATTTCAAGAAAGAAATGGGGGATGAAGCCTTTCAGAATCATAAAAGCAAGATGATTAAGTAAGAGTCCAGGCTACACTGAGCCACAGGAATTTTACATGGCTTCCACCTCACTCAAATTAAATAAGACTCCAAAAGGAAAGAAAAAACAAATATTTCACTTTATGCCTTAAAGCAGTCTATCATTCTCACACAATGGCTGCCAAGTTAAACTAAGTGAGAGCCATATTACGAAAGGAACGAGACGATCAAAGTATGTAATCAATTTACAGATGTGTTTTAAGTATTATTGCAGGAGGAGAGGATGCAGTGTTAGCCAAAGGGCTGGAATGGAAAGGGCCAAGAAAACATTGCAGAGTGAAAAATACATCAGTCTAAACTGATAGCTCACTCAAGAGTTCATAAATTCAGCAGTAAATAGAACAAGCAGCTTCATGAAGCATCAGTGACTGTGAAGAGGTTTAGGAGCTGCAGTTGTTCGCAGATGCCACCAGAGGGCAGGAGCTTGTTCAGCAGGGGGAATAGCAACAGCACATCTCATGGTGCTGTCAGTCAGATCCAATAATGTTCAGTCAGGTCATCTGGACAGTTTATTTTTTCTAGAGACGTTTCACCCTCTATCCGGTGGGGTTCATCAGTCTGAGGAGCTCCAAGTAAGAAGCCCTCTGGATAGAGGATGAAACGTCTCTAGAAAAAAGAAACAGTCCAGCTGACCTGACTGAGCATTATTGGATTTGGTACCTGGATGATTGAGAATGAACTTTTTTTGTCTCAGTCAGATCAGAAAAAAACAAAAATAGGTTCAATTCAATCCACTGACACAGCAGTTCAACACAGTAAGATGATAAATTACTTCTAAAATATAGTCAGTCGAATTCAACTAAATCCAAGTTGGCAAGATGACACCATGCGTAAAAGAATCACCAGAATGTGGATAGTCTTTGCAGGGTCATTGTGGTGCCTATAAAGAACAATGAACTTCCAGTGCTCAAGCAGGTTAAATTGCAGAAGGTTTTAAGAATGTGCAAAACCTTGCTAGAAAGGTGGTTTATTATTGCGGCAACAGCATACCAGGGTCTTGTGTAGAGTATACAAGAGCATAGAAGAGGATAGTGGCAGCTGTGGCTGAGTGGTTAGAGCAGTTGTCCTCCAATGCAAGAGTTGGGGGTTCAAATCCACCAGCAGTCACATGCCGAAGTGTCCATGGGCAAGACACTGAACCCCTCGTCGCCTCCGATGTGTGTCCCATCGGTGTATGAATGTGATAAAGCTCTGATTTATCTCTTTAGAATGATTTGTTCAATTAAGTAGAGATCTAGTAGAGTGCTGTATGAATGGGTAAATGAGGACACAGATTGTAGTGTAAAGTGCTTTGAGTGTCTTGATAAGATAGAAAGGCGCTATATAAATACAGTCCATTTACCATTTACCATAATGGCAGCAGTTGATGTTTCCATGATGTTCAGCCTACATGCGTCAAACATTCTTAATTGTTGAAAATTTGAAGTAGAACATCTCGCAGTGAGCTCATGTTTTATTATCCTTATGGCTGGGCCTGCTGCACAGAAACACTCTACAGCTGCTTCCTCTCATGCTACTGAAAGTGTTTCCTCCACCACAGCAAAAACTGAAACTGATGCTGGAAGAGACAATAAAGCTCCCAGTATACTGCTGCGTACGTCCGTATGTACGCGTGTACTGTACGCAGAGGGTTCAGACTTCATACTCCAGCGTACACCCTGAGCAGCTGCAGAGCAGCTTCACAGACAAGGGGCGTTTACCTTCGGGACAAATTGAGGTCGCTGATTGGTCATTTGCTGACACGCCTACTGGCTTGATTGACAGGTCGGAAAAAAGAAAAAAAGCGAGCGCTGGCAGCCTCAGCCGCAGCGTTCTGTGTTTATATGTTGTTAACAAAAAGATCTAAAAAAAAACAAAACAGGGAGCACTGGCTCTACAGCCCACTCATCAGACCAGCACACCAGGAAATCGCCAGACCCTCCCGCAGCCACGCTGGACCTGAGTTTAATTCGCTCGTGACAAATTCCTTCATTTGTCACAATTTCAGTCATGGCATCAATGGAGGAGGAAGAGATCACTTGCCTTTTGGCAAAAAAAAACAAAAGAAAAAGCCAGATCAAGGATGAAGAAGGGGAATTTAATACATTGGTGTCGCATACAAAACAGTCCGTCGCTGGGCAGTTTATTGTGCGACACTGCGTATGTGTATGCGGTTGTAAAAATTTGAGCTTTGCACGGACATGCCCTGGGAGGTACGCTCGTACCTCTGCGTATGTACGTGTGTACCTCTGCTTAACAGTTGTGCCTTATTTTGACCACAATAAAAGGCCACTCTAAAATGTGCAGTTTTATCATGCAGTACAGCGCCTCAGATGTCGCAAGTTTTGAGGAAGCGTGCAATTGGCAACAGACTGCAAGAATGTCCACCAGAGCTGTTGTCCGCGAATTACTGTTCATTTTTCTACCATAAACCACAAAGGCGTTTTAGGGAATCTGGCAGTACATCCAACTGACCTCACAACAGCAGATCACGTTTAACCACACCAGCCCAGTACCTCCACATCAAGCATCTTCCCCTCCAAAATCATCTGAGACGAGTCACCCAGGTAGCTGCTGTAACAATCGGTTCATCAGAAACTGACAAACTGTCCAGAAACCATCTCAGGGAAGCTCCTCTGCTGCTTGTCATCTTCATCATGGTCTCCACCTGAATACAGTTCATCATCGTAACCGACTGGCGTGGGCAAATGTTGTATGGTATGCTGGAGAGGTGTTCTCTTCACAAACAAATTCCTGTTTTCACTGTACAGGGCAGGTGGCAGACAGCATGTATGGCATTGTGTTAGTGTGCGGTTCACTGATGTCAGTGTTGTGAATCGAGTGGCACATGGTGGCAGTGGGGTTATGGTGTGGGCAGGCATTTGTTATGGACACAGGGGCTGGTGTGGTTACATGTGGTTTGCAGTTGTGAGGCTGATTGGAGGTACAGTCGTCCCTCACTATATAGTGGTTCATGTTTTGCGGCGTCACTGTATTTCAGGTTTTTGCACTCATTTTTTTTATTTGTGTGTACTGTACATGCTGTACAGCACTGTATATTCATCTCATCATCATCATCTTCATTGCCAAAGTGTTTAAGAGCATATGAAGTCGTTATAAGAGTGTGAAAAGTTTGTAGGAGTGTAGGAAGGGTTTAAAAGCCTTAATATGTATATAAATGATTAAATTTAGCTCAGAGGTGACAGGGCTTTCTCTGTTGCAGGTCCACGACTGTGGAATGAGTTGCCACTGAGTGTCCGGCAGGCTCCCACACTCTCAGTCTTTAAGTCTCGCTTGAAGACCCACTTCTATTCGCTTGCCTTTAACACGGTGTGATTTGTTTTGGTCCGGTCTGTTCTCTACTCTGTTGGCCATTTTAGTTAGCTTCTGCTGCTATTTGTATCTGTATTTCTATTTTATGTTTTCCTGTCCGCTGTGCATGTTTGTGTTCTTTTGTACAGCACTTTGGTTGGCCTTGTTGCTGTTTTAAGTGCTATATAAATAAATTGGTATGGTATGGTATGGTATGGTATGGTAAATTAATATAACACTGCCACTTTATGGATTTTCACCTACCATTGGGGGTCTCTGTAATGTAACCCCCGCGATAGGTGAGGGATCGCTACACTGCAAAATTCTCTGAACATGTACATTCCTGCAGTCAGAATGCCAACTGCACGCTCCTTCAAAACTTTTGACATCTGTGACGTTGTGCTGTGTGATAAAATTGCACATTTTAGAGTGGCCTTTTATTGTGGTCAGCCTAAGGCACACCTATACAATAATCATGCTGTCTAACCAGCATCTTGATATGCCACATCTGTGAGGTGGATTATCTCGGCAAAGAAGAAGCGCTCACTAACACAGATTTACACAAATTTGTCAACAATATTTGAAGTAGTCTTAGATCTTTGAGTCCAGCTCATGAAAAATGGGAGCAAAAACAGAAGTGTTGCAGTTGTATTTTTGTTGTGTAGTATTGTTGTGACAATGCTCTGGAGCATGGTGAGGCAGTGGAAGAGAATTTCTTGGACACAAAAATAGCAGGAAAAAGATGCAGTTGAAATCATTTGTTTCCATCTACTGTATAAAAAGACAACCATTTTTTGAAGGACTTCATCTCATCTTAACTTTTGAAATTTCTAAATTATATTTCTTATTTTTTCAGTTTAATGTTTACATATCTTACAGATATTTAATGAACTTGTTTTACAAACTGCACATAGGAATTTGCTTGTGTTTATCTATTTACCCACTCACGCTAAGTACACAGATCCACACAATACCCATGTTTGCATAGACAAGAAGGTTATGTAGGCATAGGGACAAAAATAGTACCTTTTATTTAAGATTTTATAAACAATTGATAGTCAGTGTAGGTGCTCTCTAAAGTAATATTTTGCCTGTTTACCTGCAAGAAAAAGAGCATTTGATGGGCATGACAGTGAGCATACTTCTGCCCCTCCAGTTTTGGTACAGGTCAGATGGGCTCGTGGGGCTGGCTTTCCGTTGGGAAGACATTTCACTGCCTCTGAAGAACACATAAAATTTCATCGCCATGACAACACCCAAATGCAAGAATACATACATCATGACAACGAAGAATAATGTAGCCAACTTTATAGTTATGTATTGTCTAATAGTTATCAAAAATTAGTACCTTGTAAGCCATGACATCAGTAGATGATAGATCATAGAGTACAGAGTATGAAGAAAGCGGCAAAAATTTTCATCCAGGCAAGGTTATGGCTAGCAAAAAAATGTTTTTAATTTGTCTGTCCATCCATCATCCATCCATCCATCATCCACCCATCCATCCATCCATCCATACATCCATCCATCCATCCATCCATCCATCCATGCATACATGCATACATGCATACATGCATACATGCATACATGCATACATGCATACATACATACAT